CACGAGGCCGTAAGTGGTAATCGAGAGCGCGAGAACGCTAAATTTGAATAGGCAAGGTTGAACGTGGGAGGGAATTATTACCCTAAAACTTCAGCCTCCTAGACTCTGTGGTTCCTGAGATATTAATTTACCCGTAAAAAACTTTCCCGGGGCCGTACGTGTTACCCGCGGGTAAGGGAAGGTTGAATTCAAATTTGCCGCGTTACCCGCTGGCGGGGAACACTATACCAAAATTTCAGCCGCCTAGCTTTTGTAGTTTCCGAGTTGAACGTGCGGGACAAAATGTGGGACACAAACACAAACAAACAGACACACACATACACACAAACAAACACACGCACAGACAACCCTGTGACAATATGTGTTTTGTAACGCTGTTACACAGAACAAAACGCATAATAAGGGAGAAACATACCCATAAGCATTAACCCAACTGAGAAGCTGAACTAATTCATTTTTTTCCAGTTTATCGGAAGCAATTTCTCGAAGCTGAAATAACATTTTGAGAAAATCGCAGTTCCGTCACTTGCATTAAAAAATTAACGAAATTCCCCTAATTCTGTTCCAGAAATCTAAGCACGTCCAATATTTACTTACTGTGTGACGCAGAGTCATTTCGAAGCAGCCCTTGCGGTAGCACGTGAAAATCGTAACCACCCGCTGACAGCGCTTTTTCGAGGCTTGCTTAGATGCAAAGCTGATGAGTTAGCTCTTTCTAGCACCAATTTACCACTGCAACGAAAGAACTGGATTTGCTGTTCCAATGCTAGAGCTGAATTCTTAACTTTCCGCACGAAAACAGCGTAATTTTCTACTGTACTGTGCCCTCCCAGCAACTCTGATGAGATACAGCTCGATTTCCTTTTCCATTTTCAAACGTATGTACAGTGCATGCATTTTAACCACTGAAGTGTTATTCCTTTTAAGCTAATTCCCTTTTTTTGATTAAATTAGGTTTACTTGGGAGGAACTGATATTTATAAGACTGGTTGTCTTAGTTACGCGAAAAACCTAAAACTCTCTTCGCCGGCACAAATTCTCGAAATATACATTGCAAGACAAAAACCTTCTTATCTAATATAACTGTGCTTAAATTTCAAAAAAAAAAAAAAAATGCAATTTCGAGAAAAATTAACTGATCGTCAAAAATTGCAGTTTAATAAAAAGAAAAGCTAGAAAGTCGCAACAAAAGACCAAAGTGTGTTGACAAAATGAAAGGCTTACGCGTTCCGATAAAAGACTATGATACATAGACACAAAGCGATCATAGATGCCATAACATGGTGGAAAACACGGTGCGGCTGCACTTTTTGCAACCAACAAATCATTTACTAACACAAGACGACAAATTTCCAAGTACCTGAAAATATTTTTTTAAAAAACGGATCAAGAATCAGAACACCGAAGCCGCCCCGACAATTAGAATGGGAATCTCATACTAGCAGGCAGTTAGGCACCAAATACACATTAATAACGTTGAAAATAACCACTGATTTAACGGTACAAGAAATTTATAAAACAGACCAATCTCAGCTTGAACTGCCTTTATCAACTTGTTCATGATGGGAGTTGTGGAAGAAGAAACCGAACAGACACCAAAAAAAGATGCAGTTGATTTCACAAAGGTCAATTTGAGCCATAGATCTGCGCGAACCTCCAAATTTATAAATTCAATGAGCCCTGAAAATAACACGGGAAGTAAAAACCTAGCAAGCCACTGTTTATTTAGAGATCGGTCTTCCAACTGATTGCCTTCGATCCGTTGCTTCACCGTGCTTGCAATAACTTCCAGGCATTTATTTCTCCATTCCCGTGGTCGACCAGGCGGTATAAAATCGTTGGTTAGTACTCTTCGATCCATATAATACTGGTCAATCCTGAAATTCTCGCAAATATATACCGA